GGAATTGCAGACAGACGAGATGCTGCCCTCAGCACTGAAGGAGGTGGGGATGTTGATTCCATTTTGTGATGCTTAAGGTGCAGTTTCTTCCTCTGAACATCTCCATGCTTTGAACTGTGTGACTGTTTCCTTTTGGTGCCTTGACTGCAAAAACCGTAGGGTGGAGCTGCATTCACTCTCAGTTCTGACATTGGAGCTGTGATACAAACCTTTTTTTCACTCAGGCTGATAATTCTTATCAGAAAACTGACGCTGCTGCTTGTTGCAGAGCCTGTGCTTCCTGCTTCTGAGGTGCCTAAAGCTGAGCACAGAGCTTCTAATTGCATGCTCAGATAATGCAGCCCCCATTTGGACAAGGGTCAGTGTGAAAGGGTTAACGTTAAGGTGGAGAGGAAGAATCAGAGTGTGACATGGTGACATCCAGGCGGGTGTGGGGATGCTTTTAATTGTTTCAGAGCTTAAGGCCCAGCAAGCACAAGGGAGGAGGTGCAGATTGACCAAAAACCACTTGATTCTGCAGCTCCAAACTACTTTGGATAAGAGGAATCCTTCCCATCCTGCTCCTGGCCAAGCTTGCTCCAAAGAGGCTACATTAAGCAACAAGCAAGAGGAAACATGGTTCCTTGAAGAGCCTTAGAAATACCTGTTCTCACTCCATTCCTGTTGCTGGGCTCAGGTTTCCGTGCACAACGGTGGTGTTTATCTGTTTGTGTCTGGTTCTGCATTGACTGCTTTCTTTCTCCTGCTTCTCCCATTCACCTTGTCCTTTCTCCAGGTGCATTTGGGGCTGGTAAGAATGCAGAAAAGCACAGGGGAGAAGCGAGGGCGCTGCTCTTTGACCTTCCCCAGTGACCTGGAATGGGCAGGAGCGTGATGCTGCAGGTTTTGGCCTTGCAGCCTCTTAAATGCATCACTCATCATCTTGTTGCTGTGTTTTTCATGTACGGAATATATCCAAAGAGGGCCCCTAATGGAAGAAGTGTTTTAGAGACAAAAATACGCCCAGGAAAGAGAGATGGAGATCCTGGGGTGAGGAGGGTAAGGGGGAGAAGAGGCTCACAGCTCCTCCAATGTGGAAACAAAAGGGTTTTCTGTGCCTCTGCAGCACTCTGCAGAGGGGACAGTCAACAGCAGTGACTCGATGGCAGCCTGATCACGGGCACCTTGTTCTTCTCCCATTGTTTCTGCCATTGTTGCTACCAAATAACGCATGAAGCTCATTGAAAGCTGAAATGAGCCTCGTGAGGGCTTTGCTGCGTCCCTCCCCCTGGGCATTAGCTTCTATGTGTGTAGCATTCAGGGGACTGGGTCCTTATAGCTGTTTTTCAGGTCATTCTCTCTCTCTTTTAAGAATGGGAGGACAACAATGACTTTCTAACCTGAGTTTGAAGATCTTTGGAATGCTTTTTAAGGACGAGGAGGGAGCTGCTGCATTTGCACAGGGATGGTGGGGACCAGTACATTGCGTTCTTGAGCATCCTTGCCCTGTTTGCTCTCTTAACAGCCTGATTCTGTTCATTTCAGTTCCTCTTCCCTTCTGGATGCAGTGTTCTCAGTCACAACTAAATGAATCCTTCAGCAGGAGGATGGCAGATGAGTTCTGCCTGCTCAGGGCTCCTTGGGGCCAGCAATCCCTTCCATGGCCCTTGACCCCTGGACACAGAAATGTGTGCCCTGCTTTTAGCAGGGGGACTTTTGCCATCTATTGGGAAGGGATGGAAGCTCGAGGACCTCTGCCATCCCCCAGGGTAAGATGACAAAGTGCATCCCACCTTCCTGGGTTTGTCTTGCAGGTGTCGTTTTGCTGCACGTGTGGGCTCAGCTCTTGCTGCTTTCCCACCATGCTGTCACTGCCTTGAGTCAACTTGTCATCCTTGTTTTGTCACTAAAAGAACACAAAACTCTTTACACTCTCCTCTACCCATACTGGGGAAGCATTTTGCTTGGGGAAAGCTGGATTTCAGCTGAATCCTTGAATCGTGCTCAAAAGCAATTAAAATCAATCAGGAGAATAGAGAGTGCTTGCCGAGTGCCTTGTGCTTCAGTCTTCTTTGGTCCAAGAAAACCAGTAGCTTGCATTCCAGTTGGGAATTTCAGTGTCAACTGATCTCTCTCCCCACCTTGAAAGGTGAAGGGTAGAAATGCTAGGAAGATGTGTGTGTTTTCTCTGTGGATGTGATGCTCTGCTGTTCCAATAGCAAAACAGCAGCTGTCATGTAAGCATTGAGCTACAGTGTCCTTTCTGAGCTCCTGGGCTTGCTACAGAAATACAACTGTTGTGTTTCATGGGGAAGTCGTGGAAATTCCAGTAGGGGTTAAACTTTACATAAAATACACTGGTCTGTTCCTCACTGTGAGGTGCTCAGTCCCACTTCTCTGCAGTTGCTGCTGTTTGTCATCCATCCGGTGAGTGCAAAAGCAGAGCTTTGCCTCTACGATTGCACATGGCAGCAATATTCCAGCAGGGCCAAGGGGTGGGAGAGCTGCCACGTGTCGTTAACACCTCAGAGCATCGGGTCCTTTGGTTCCTCAATTATCACTCTGTGTGTTTAGAAGGTTGAGTTGACCCAGGTAAGATTTGGACCAATGGCTCCAGGGAGTCTACAGGGTGAAAGCATGAGGCTTGTGGAGGTAACGAGCCTTCCCTTTTAAAAAGAACTAACAATTAGGGGAGATTATAGAACCTAATAGCGCATGCCTAATTTTTTGGAAGCATGGACCATGACTGTGACTGCTTGGTCAAATCCAGCCCTGACTTGTCCTTATGGCAAGCTGTGCACTGCAGGCAGGTACAGAAGGAAGTGCTGAGGCTGAGGATGTGGCCCTGAAATTTGTTGTGCGTGGGTTTTAGGAAGAGGTTCTTCTAAAAGAGAGCCAGGATTTGGAATTGCTGATCCTCATGTGTCCCTTCCAGCTTAGGAAAGCCTGAACGGTTTCCTTCATTTTCTGTTTATGTGATCAGATGATGCAAGCCCAGTCTAAGCAGCGTTTACACCCATAGTCCGTGATTTTGAGAGGTTTCCTATTCTGTTTCTCAGCTTTTTGCTGAGTGCTCTTCTGGTCTTAACCTGCTGCAGAATGAAGGGGGCAGCAGATTTCCCTGAATCCGGCTCAAGAGCTTTGCTGAATTCCTGCCGAATGCTTTGCTTTATGCAACCCACAGGCGCTTCCATCAGCTGGAAGCCTGCATGGCATTTGCTGCTTGTATCCTTACCCGACCCGGGCATCCAGCGAGCATTCCTCCTGCAGGCTGTCATGTTTCTCCATGCCCCGATCAGCAGACGCTCACACATTCCTTCCTCTGACCGAACTTCTTTCAGCTTCCTGCTGCTCTGAAACAGCTCCGTTTGGTGCAGCTTCTGCTGTGAAGCATTTTGCTCCCAGTGTCTCTGGGTTTTGACCCATCAGGTTGTGCTCTGCTGATGGTAATTTGCAGAATTTTTGCTACAGGAAAACCAATGCATTATGGATTATTCCCCATCAACAGTTGCTGTTGGCTTCTTTGGGTAGAAGAGCAAAGCTCTGAGTGGTTTCCTAACTTGACATCTTGATATTCTCCATGAGTTGTACCAAGAAGCCAATTACCCTCTTCATAGTTGTAGAATTATAAGGAGTTGCACTGGATCTTTGGAGAGCAAGTCCAACCCCATAATATTAACAATGTGATTGACATTGGAGGGCTGCCCTGCCAACTCACAGGAATGTGGTTGGCATCTCCCTGCTCATGTTGTCATTTTTTCTTGGTGGGTGTCATCTCAGAGCCTGCCATAGCAGTAAGTGATGGAACAGTGATGTACTGTTGTTGTGTTGGGTTGAGTCTTTGAGGTCCCTTCCAATCCAAGCCATGCTGTGATCCCAAGAGCCTTCAGTTATGGACAAATCCGTTCCACAAAGAGCTGGGAAACCAGGGAACAGGAGGGATTCTCCTGAAAGCAAAGTTGAGCTTCTCCAGTGTTGTTGGTTTATTCCATGTTGCCCAAATCCCTTGCTTAAATTCTACATTGCTGCAATTCAATTCCAGTCCAGCTTCCAGGAGTTGGTCTCAATGACCTTTATGGGCTCCTTCCAACTGGGGACAACCTATGATACGATTCCTTTCTCTTCCCAGCATGTTGCAGGTTCCTCCAATGCTGCTGCCCAACTTGCTGAGCTATCCCTTCCCAATAAGTGGTGGCATCAGAGAGCAGGGAGCTCTGCACATCGGTGCCTGAGTAGCTGGGTATGAGGGCTAATGCAGATTAGGATAAGAAATGGGGCTGTGCTCTGAGCAGGAAGGGTAAATGGTGCTTAGGAAGTGATGGGGAAACCTGGGAAGAGGGGTAAGTCTGATGGCAGATGTGTCCTCATAGTGTTAGCTGTTAAACCATTGGAAACACACCCAGAGGTGGAGATAAAGCACTTTCATTTTTCAAAATAAAAGGTTTGCTAGCAAGCCCTTCAAAAAACTTTAAATTTCATCAAGGGATGTACTGCACTAATAGGGACATTCCTCCTAAAGCTGGCTTTTGTGAATACCTTGGTGCCTATCAGCTTTCTGCTGACTTGTTTGGAAATCCCATTAAACAGAGGTTCAAATATACATGGCCAAAGCTGGGCAGAAAATACATTTCCATTGGTAGGGAAATGCTGATGTATCAGAACGCGCTTGGGTCAGAAAATATAATTTCAAGGTGTTCTCTCAAACAGATTTGCAGAGCGCTGTTTTTTCTTATTGTTTGTACAATTAGAAGAAGGTTTTATTTTGTTTATGAATGGAGAATTGCCTTTAGGACACCGAGGGCTCTGGGGTAACTCTTGGTGCGGGTCTGGCTGGTTCTGAAAGATGTGCCGTTCAGATTCCTATCCCACCTCCTTCCCTGCAGTCCTGCCTGGATTTCCCCCCGTTTCCCTCCTGTTGCAACGCTCAGATTACAGGACAACCCATGATATCACCCGCTATGAGCAGAGGCTGAAGGGGTTGGGTCTTGGGAGGGGTTTGCTTGGCGAACTCCAGTGAAATTTGCCAGGAAGCAGCAGCTCCTTGCAGCGTATTCCTCCGGCTGCGGGATATTTCCCAGCGCAGAGGGGACCATCGGACAGCTCAGCCCCAAAGGGAGAACTTCAGCCCCGAGGTCACCCCCAGCACGACCTACCACTAACCCCAAGGTAACGCAGGGCTGCCGCCCGTCCTCTCTGGGGAGGAAGGAGCTGATGAGTTAAACCTTTCCAACCTTTCCTCCCGTGCTGAAAGTTTGACTTTGCCTCTCTTTCCTCTTTGTTTTCCTTCTCTCCCATCACTGTGTGCAACGTTTAGCCTTAACGAGCTGGGCTGGCAATCAGGCATATGATTCCACTAATTCCTCTCTCCTGAGTCTTGGTGAGGAAGGGATGACACAGGCACGGCGTTGCTTTGCAAAGATGTTGTGAGCAAGTTATTCTCCCCTTTGCTTGCACACAGGCGCACACTAATGAAGCAAAAAAAGACGTGTTGCAAACTGCCTGCAAGTCGAGGCAATGTGTATTCTCTGAGGTTCTTACAATCTGCTTGATTTAAAGCTGCTGTGGATGCCATCGATGTGTTGCCAGCTACAAGCAGTTTGAATTCTCCTCTTTGAATACTGTGCTTTCGGTGGAAAAGGCTTTGGTGCAGATGTTTCCCATTGGCAGGAGGCGTAGAGCAGATACATCCATAGATAAGAAACTTTGCTGTTGTCATGCTTGGGATCCACAGCCATTTGCAAAGCATCCTCCTGGCAGCTTTCCTTCGTTAGGCTGTTTTATCACAGAGTTTCAGGATTTGCAGCGGTATCCACCTGAAAAACTGCAGCAGAGAAACTGTTTCTGGAATGACTCTGCCTTCTTTTAGGTAAATTTGTGTTCTTTAAATTAGGAAGACGTTACTGTGGGAGGGTGAGAGAGGTTTAAAACCCAATGCAAGGTAGCACGCTATGCAGAAAGACCCCGCTTTATCTGTCTGGGAACAATAGTAGGAAACCTGGTTAGCATCTCTCATCAGCTCATAACTGCGACACTGCGCTGCTTTCAGACTGGCGCTGAACAGGGGCTGCAAATAATTTGCTGTAGGGCTGCTGCTTGCCAGTTTCATTTCATCTGCATCGAACCACACGTTGGGGTAGGATTTCCTGGGTTGGAAGTGGAGAGCAGTCAGAAGACATAAAATGAGATGTCTGATGAGCTGCTGTAACGCGGAGCATGCAGGGGGAAGCCACATATTTACCTTTGTGTAAAGATGGAAGGAGTGATGGTGGTACAGAAGGGGACAAAGCCTTGGCCTCTGTTAGTAGAGCAGCCATGCATTCTGCTGTCAGCTCTGTCCTTTTGTAAGCTAAGTAGGGACCTCCAAGTGCTTGTGACGTTCTCTGTAGTTTGTTCAATACGTTGGCCCTGCACATCATTGATTTTGCCACCAATTCCTTCTCTTTTTTTTTTTTTTTCTTTACATTTGCCTTCTATGTTCATTTTAACCTTTCATCCTTTTTTTTTCTCCTGATCTGTTTCCTAACACCATTAGTGTTGCTCGGGAGCACAAAGGTGTCCTTTCTCAGAGATGGCAGCTTCAGGGGTGGGCCCATGCAGCAGATCACCACCAGCAGGTTTGCAAAGCACTTTCTGCACACTGTGATGCCTTGTGAGAGCTGCTGTGGTTCCCATCTCTGTTCACCTTGACGTTATGACACCAGGCAAAGGGAAAAGAGAAGGAAAAGAAAGAATTTCCCCAAAAGCTGGGAGTCTTTCATCCTTCTGGCAGGTGGAACCTGGGTATGCAAAGCACGGAATGTTACCTTGGGTTGATCTGTTACCCTTGTCTAGGCTCTGCCTTCAATCCTATATGGCGTTCTACCTAAAAATACCTTAGCTTACAGCTGGGATGTCTCCAGTGGTTCATTCAGCTTCCACTTTCAGTGTGCTTTTTGGATTGCCCTATGCTACCCCTCTTTGAAGTGTCTTTGTACTCAGACTTTCCTACCAGAGGCATCTCATCCCCAAGGAGGCCATCCCACCGTCGCAGGATTCTGTATGCCAGTTTCTCTGCATGTTGTTCTGCTTTGCTTTAGGGCAAGTTGCAATTAAGTGAAGGTTGGGGATCCCTTGGACCGGGGTTAAGAGTGGCAATGATTTTCTGGCCATCCCAGTCAATCTGTCCCTTGGAACAACGGGATACAATGGGATAATACATCTCAGCTCCTATGGAAGTGGGTGGTGATGTTTCCATTCACTTTAATAGGACTGGAGAGGCCAATGCGAGTTGCCTGTTGGCTGGAGAACTGCTTCCCCAATGGGAAATCCCATTACTGCCCTATCGCCATGCTTGCTATGGGGTGTGTGACTGAAGTATGGAATTGGAAATGCAGGGAGCAGCATTTGGGGTGGCCAGATATCAGTGTGCAGTGCTCCTGGCCGTGTCCCAGAGCTGTGGTCAGGGTGTAGTTGTCCCTTCCTCCTGCTGGATGCTCCATGTCGTGCAAATTGGAGCGTTGCTGGGTCTGCAGTCCCAAATCAGCCACTCAAAACTTTCCTTTTGTTGCTGGATCAGAGGGGAGAGGGGAAGCTGGTTTGTTGCAGGCTCTGTCAGAGCTGATCTATTGTTCTGATGATTTGGTGAAATGAAAAAGGGATTCTAGCAGCTCAGAAGGGCTTTGATGTGGGGAGATGAATAGCCTATTAGTTTCACCTGGCGAATTCTCTGAAGAAGCAAAAGCTCAACATAATTTTGAAATGGGATTGCTGCATGCTTCTGTGTGTGTCCATCATTTGGAGACTTCAGACCAGAGCCCTGCAAAGGGCTGAGTCAGCAGCTTGCAGGAGCATGCCCCAAAGCCTTAAATTACAACTTAAGGACTCTCCATCACGTTGCTATGGCCTGATGTACAGGAGCCAGGAGACCTGGAGTATTTTCCTGGCCTCTTTATTCAATAAGTTTTCAATGCTCTGTCTTGGATTCTTCTGAATGGGGAGACCAAGTTGAGATACTTCTAGGATTATGTCATTACTGAGTCTGGAGGCTGTTAGAGGATTTGAGGGGAGGAATGAGCCCTAAAGCAAAGGAAATCACCAGCGCAGAGCAGACATCCTGCAAACCCAACCCTGGATTTCTTCTTAGGCAGCTCAGTGTGTGCAGCTCTCTGATATTTCAACAGGATTCTGCTTTTCCTGACATCATGGCTTAGTCTGAGTGGTTTTTCTTCAGCCCCTCAATGAACAAGAGCTCTGGGTTTGCAAGGTTTGAGTTCTGGGGCGATGCAAGCACTGGGAAGGCTTTGTCTCCAAATGTTTGAATGTGCAACTATTTAGGATGGTAACACGACCTGAAGGGAAGCAGGCTGTGGCTGCCAGCACACACTGCAGTGTTGTCTCCTGGAGCGTGTGCAATTGCTGCTGTTCTGGTCTTAGGGGAGAATTCCTCTGAGATGCACTTGCACACATTTAACGAGATGAGAAGGCAGATTTCAGGCTGTTTTTCCAGTACCTTCTTTTGGGCCTTATCTCAAAGGATCCCAATGGAGATGGGATGGTGCACGACCTGAGCACGAGATGCCTGCCCCCCAAGTCATTCCCCTTGGCAAAGGTTCAGGATTGCATTCATACAAAGTTGTTGAAACACCTTTTTTTTCCCATCAGCTTTTTCTCTATGGAGCAAGGGACCTATCCATCCTCCCCAGATTTTCTCAAATTCGGCAGTAAACAGGTTTTTGTAGCTTTGCACGGCTCTGAAAGCCTCCAAGCTTTGGGAAACAAAGGCAAATTATCCTGCAGTTGGCTCTTAGTGCTCCCAGGGTGCTGACCTGATGAGTTTTTTGCCAAATGTGAACATTGCACCTGTGGAATTTGCCATAATCTATATTAGTAATGTTGGTACCCACTGAAGCCCGTTGGTCCCCATTAAATCATGGAAGTCTGCACCACCAATCTGCCCACTGACTGTGAGATCTCCCGATGCTGTGACTTCCTACAGGGCTTCTTCCAGGGCTCTGTGTTAATTAATTAATGCTTCAGGGAGCTCAGCTGGTAACCATTACATCCTGCCTCCAAATGGTTTCCCCAAACCGTTGTGTCTTTTGGCTGCAGTCCTCCATTGAAACGACCCAGGAGCTTTGGTTTGAATTGGATGCAGCCCTGCGAGCTGGAGCTATTCCCAAAAGGTAACCTAGATGGGAACTGGGCATCTCCTCTTCATATGGCAACGTGCCTTTATCTCTCAAGAGCTTCCTCCAGGACTTGACCACAAGGCCAACGCTCACAGATGATGTTTGTTTGCCAAGAGAAAGCCATAATGACGCTTCAGGTTGTGTTGAATTCTCTCCCTCCAGGAACTGAGATGAAACAGAGGTTTCCACCCAGCTTAGCTTTTGTTTCGCATTCGCTGAGGCTGTTTAAATCCTATTTACTCAGTAGCAAGAAACAACAGCCGCGAAAAACACGGTAGGACAAAACAGATGTTTAAAGATTAGAGCTGAAAACCAGATTTCCCAAAGACCATTGGGCTTACAGCGCTGTGGGCTCGTCGTTCCCCCTCCGGTATTGTTACTTATAACTAACATATGTTATTTCTGTGCTATGATCTAAGGGGGTTGCTTGGAAATCGTTATCCTGTTCACAACAACTGCTCTGCCCACGTGTTTATCCTCTGGGCTGGAGCCCATCCTGCATCCATGAAACACATTGTAAGAGGTTTCTTTTGAAATCCCTGCTGGTGGGTATTGAAGTTGGGTATGTCTGACAGCACTGATGTGCATTGGCTCGGGAGCCTTTTGGTTTTGCAGAGCACGTCTCCTGCTCCGCCGACTGCATTTGCTTTGGGAAATCCCCTTTGTTTCCTGTTGGAGGAGAGCAGCCTTGTGAAAGCACTGTATTTCCTTCCTCTCTGTCTGACACGGGGCAGGGCTTGCTTCCATTCCTCTCAGCCTCACCTCCTGACCTGCAGAAATTGGAAAAATACCTTGTCTGCGTGCCAGAATTTCTTTGAAAACGTCCAGATCTCAGTCTGGTGAAGCCACTGTGAGAATACCTGGCTCCTTGAACCAAATTGTTACTGTCCTAGAAATGTTTGCCCCATATTCCCCCTCCTCTGTTGTAGTCCCCACTTTGCTTTTTCACTTTTCTGCCCAAAATCCAATGCAGCTCCTTTAGCTAAGTCCTTTGTTGCATGCATGTGACTTTTATGGAGACGTCTTCCATCCCCGGCATGTCAGAGGGTTCTCACTGCTACCAGCCCTATGGAACACAAGGGGAAACTGAGGCAGAGCGCTGGCTGAGGTCAGGTAGCAGGCTGAAGCTGAGATTTAACTGCATTCTGAATCTCAAGCTTGTCCCCTGGGATTTCTGATACATCTCTCTAGCTTGGAAGGCTGCTTAGTGTGTCATGCTGGTCCCTTTTTGGGGATAGCTGAGTCCCAGCAAAACCACTGGAGGGTTTTACATCACAACATCTGTTTGTGGAGCCCAATCTTTCCCTCTCCCTCCTCTATGGTATTTGCCAGGAAATAACAGAGCTTTGAGGGCTGGGGAGCTTTTTCCCACTGCACTGTGGCATTGCTTCATTTGGAAGCTATTCAACCATCAGCCCCCACGTGTGCTCCTTGACCGCTCCGCGTGCTGGGGAGTGTGTGAAGTGGGCAGAAAATGACCAGGCTTTAAGCTTTGCCCAGCATCCGGATGAAATCCTCTAATGAGCCAAAAGTTGCTGGTTCTTACTTTCAATGGCCAGTTTGCTACACTGAGGGATGAGCCCCAGTCCTGATTTAGCAAGCAAACCCTGGAGATCATTAGCACTTGGCAAGCCAGATGAGATTGCTATTCTGCAAGGTATGGCTACCTGCATTGATTTTCTGCAGAGGAAATGATGTGCAGTGGCAGCAATAAGTCTTCTACCATGAAATTAGGAAAATAGACCTCAATAGCAATACGTTGCTTCTGACCACACTGTAATACCTTTCACTGCCCCTTCAGTTTTTCCACTGTTTAAGTGACTGTGCTCTCTTTTTAAGGGGAGTATCGGGGAATAATGGTTAGTTCCACCCTAGTTGAGTGTCTTGCACTTGCACTGAATCATAGAATCATTAAGGTTGGGTAAGAACTCTGAGATCACCAGATCCAACCATCAATCCATCCCTGCTAAACCACATCGCTCTGTGCCGCAAATACTGAACTATTGGATTTGCAGAGGAATAGGAAAATCCTATTGCTGCCATTCTTGACCTGTAGAATGTCGCCCTGGAAAATAATATTTTTCAGCCAGAGCAATTTGACTTAAATTTGCAAGCGGTTTTCATGTGTTTCTTCTCATTTTCTTCTCCCACCCCTTGGGAAATAATTGACTTTGGTTCTTACCAAGTCAGGTCATTGGGTATGGTGTCTCTCATAGGTTTACCCCCTTCTGAAGCAGGAGGAATGAAATCCACGTCCTCACCAAGCCTCACTCACCCTCTCCTTTCATTCCGCGCAGCACCTACCTGCACTGACCAGCAGCTGCAAAACAACACTTTGGCTCTGAGAACTGTGAGCACTGAACATGGAAGGATTCCTGGGCTTTAACCATAACCACTGTTTCATCGTGCTGTTCTTCGTCTCCCTGAGCCTTGCCCAGTACGAACACTGGCCCTACCTCCCCGGGTACCCTGAGCCACCCCCACAGGTCTACCAGCCCCCCCAGAGGCCAGCAGACGTTCCTAAAATCCAACTACGGCTCGCAGGGCAGAAGAGAAAACACAACGAAGGCCGAGTGGAAGTGTTCTACAGCGGCGAGTGGGGAACGGTGTGCGATGATGACTTCTCCATCCATGCAGCACACGTGATTTGCAGGGAGTTGGGCTACGTGGAGGCAGTGTCCTGGCTACCGAGCTCAAAATATGGGAAAGGAGAAGGTAAGGTGACCCCCAGAGCTACAGCATCTTGCTTAGCTGTCTCCCCAACCCTAATAGTTCTTGACTTGATGTCCAGATTTGACGATGTAGGACCAAACAAAGAGCTGAAGGAGCTGATCTTGGTGTGTGAGCTCTAGCAGGGGAGGAGGGTAAGAAAATCTGCAGCAGGGCTACTGAAAAGGTATCTGCAACCACAGATGTAACTTACAGGTAGTTATGTCCCTGTTCACACTTCCATTGCCACGCAGTGAGTCAAACAGAACCTCTAAACACTCTTTCCTCCTGTTCTTTTCCCTGGGAACCGTTTGGGCTCCAAATAGATTGCCTTTTTGATGACGTACAATTCTCTTTCCTCCTGTTGTCTTCTCTAGAGAGGCATGCATCACTCTGCAATGCAGAGTAGCCTGTAAAACCCCAAAGGAATGTGTGTGCTTTGTGTCCCCTATAGGACTGCGTTTAGAATAATCTTTTGGGACTCTCCAAGCTGGTCCTGGTGAGGAAGAGCTGTTCACCCCCAACCCAAACTGCACGTCGCTTCTATCGTGACCTTTGAAATAGCACAAGGAGGTTGCGTGGGCAATTGCAGCTTGGAAAGTTGGATCTTTCCTTTTTATAGATAGTAATAAACTCTCAGAATAGTAATGCTTGAGGTAGAATAGCTCTGCGAGAGTATGCAACTCAGCAGCCTTGTTTAATTGTCTTTTACTACGCCGTTAGTTAAATACTGGCCGGTGGAGTTTCTTTCTCCAAACTTTAAGGCCTGGCACAATGTTGATGTAACCCACAGACAGATTATTTCCACTCCAGCTGGGATAAACGTGCTGTATGTCTGTTACTTAGCCCTGCTCATTAGTGCTCACACCTATAAAACTGCCCGTTAAGGAGCAAGCAAGCCTTAAGGTTGACTTGAGTGAAACGTGAAACCTGGAATGTTGTCCCAGGCTGTGGATTTTGGCTTTTGGGGCGGAGAAGATTTCCGACAGAGAGAAAAGAGTCCATGACTTTGGAAAACAAGCCAGGAAATCTTTGCCATCTGGTTCAGTAGGTAAATCCTGATCCAGAGAGCCTGCATAGGGAGAACTGTGCCTTCCTAGGTCAGAAAGGACTCAATAGACTTAATGTTTGAGGAGCATGAGGAGGGCTGGCAGATCCACCAGCTGGCTGGTGTTGAACCAACTGAGCGTTAGGGCTGCTGGAACGAAGCTGGGAAAGCCAAGGGAAACAGCTCCCACTGCTCTTAGGAAAACTCCTTGTGGCTCTGAAGGTGGAGCAGTCCCTTCCATCCAAAGGACGCGTCCTTCAGACAAGCAGAGATTTGGGGACCCAAAAATATGGGAATTGTTTGTCGTTGCTCCTTGGAGTTCAGGGGATAAATCACAGGGGAATAAGCCGTGCCCAGCACGTTTCCAAAGGGAACGTGAGCACTTGGTAAAGGGGAGTCTGGGAGGTTCTTTGGTTCTTTGCTTGGAAAATATGACCTCGAGTTCTTGGAGTGGCAACTGTAGATTTTTGTTCCACCTGTCGGTCAGCTCCAAAGGACCTGATTTGTTTTTATACAATATACCTGTAGCTACAGTCTGGAAAGTGGATCTGGTCATTGGTTTTCAAGGAGCACACGAATAACAGGGTAACACAAATAACAGGAGGTTCCAATCAATGGTGATTTGTTAAATCTTTTGCAAAAATTTGCCTTTAAAACGTTAGGACATTGAATCAAAACTTGGAGCACTCTCATAGAAGGGATTTAATGAGGGTTTGCTGGGAAACGATGTGAGGAGAAGCCTTAAATACAGGGGGTGATTTGGTGTGATTAGAGGGCAGGGTCCAGTCAGCCAAACCCCTGATTATCACAGTCTGGATCTGCATCTTCCTGAGTCTCATTTCGATTTTCTTTCCCCTTCAGGGAAAATTTGGATGGACAATGTCCATTGCAATGGCAAGGAGACCACGCTGGCAGCGTGCACCTCCAATGGCTGGGGAGTGACAGACTGCAAACACACCGAGGACGTGGGGGTGGTCTGCAGCGAGAAGAGAATCCCTGGCTTCAAGTTTGACAACTCGTTGCTCAACCAAATAGAGGTAAATGGGCTTTAAAATTCCAGGATGGCGGTCGAGTCTTCCTTGGAGATGTCTGCTACGTGTTGTAGGTTATCTGAGCTGCACTCTATAGTGAGAGCAAATGCTTGACAGTGACTTTTTAATTGTATTTCTAAGAAAAAAGGAGAGAAGGATGTTTGCTGTACCCACAACCTTCTACCCATGTGGGTTTATTGGCCCATAGCACCGAACTGCTGAGTTTTCTTTCCCCTCATGGCTCCCTTTGGGTACTGGAAGCAAACTGGAGGTCTTTGGTGTAACGGGGGGTAGGGTTTGTAGCAAACAGGGCTTACAAGCATGGGGTTGGGAGGAATGGATTTTCAATACAAAAGGTTTTTAGGTCTGGTTAGCTAAGTAATGATGTGACTGTGATAATTCTATGGAAATAGTTCTGGGAGTGGGAGATTAGTGCTAGAAGTGATGAAATGAACATGAGCAGAGGAAAACGTAGGCTGGTCACTGGGGGAAAGGCTCTGGATTTTGGCTGAGGTTGCATCTCCAGGAGTAAAATGCCTGAATCACTGCTCAACCAGCATTGTTAGATTTCTGCAGTATAAAATTCCATGGGGGAATAATCCAGGGGGAATGCTGGGCTGGAAAGAAGCTGGGCTGAGCTCATCAAAGGAAAAAAAAAACGTTTGCTCTCTCGAATGTTCAGGTTGGAAAATATTTGTGGTGACTCAGCCAACTGCTCCCTTGTTTCAGTGTGCAGAACATCTCAAAAGAACTTCTCCACCAACCAGAGGCAAACCTTATTTTAAGCAGAGAGAGAATCCGGGGTGCATCGCATGCCACACCGTGGTTTCTGTGTGGCTCAATCTTGGCTCCGTTTGCCATCTGAAACAAAGGATGCAGCATTCTTCATCCCCTTGCAGCAAAACTGTTCTAGCTTTGCTTTGCAGTCACTGACGGGTGGAAGGCTCTGAAATTCTGCTTGTCTTGACCTGGCTTCCCTCTGCTACAGAGGAGGAAGCAAGGCTTTCCAAAAGGATCTCAATGGCCCCAGGCAGTTGCTTAGGGAGCGAGGCTCATAGAACATCAGTGATGGCTTTGACAGATGTGTGCTTTCCCAAAGCCACAGTGAATCCTTCAAAGAGAGGCCTGGAAGAAAGGATGCTTTCGTCTAGACGGAGGTCGCATCACACTGAGATGCTTTGGGTATTAATCACAAAAGCTGGGGAGGGCTCTGCTTTTCCGTTAGCTAAGCACTGGAGGTTGATTAATGAGTAGGACACGTTGGGGTGACCAAGAACTGGTTGTGCTGATGCTGTGTGGGTGTTGAGCTTCATGTAAGATAAAGAGAATGAATCACAGGACTGGAGCAGCTCATGTGGCTGAAGCCATAGGAGAAATAGGTTTGGGTGAGTTGTATCTTCCATGACCTGGGAGCTGGGTCACCATGGTAAGGGGTGAACTGCATTCCCGGAGGTGGGTGAGGAGCACTGGTGACCAAAGGCACTGGTGAGGGTAGAGAGTTTTCTCATATCCCTCTAAAGTCACAGAGAGCTGAAGGATTCTTTATTCTGCTGGTTTTAATGCTGCAGGATTAAGGCTAAAGGTGATGCGCTATGAATTTTTCAGATGCCTGTGTGGAAGCACAGCTCAGTCACAGCTAGCTGTCAAATGCTTCAGGTTTTCCACCCCCCTTCCAGCTTTTGTTCTCTTCTCTGTGTTTGCTTTATCTCATTAGCAGCTGCTGTGGCATTGCTGGGAGTCAGAGACGATGAGAGGGGTTACTCATAGGGTCACAAACCACAAACAGTGAGGTCAAAAGGCTGATGTGAATGCAAGCTGAAAGTCTTTGCCCTCTCCAGCATGCCTGGGAATTCTGCATGTCATAGCATGCATTCACTGGGGGAAACGTCATCGTTCTGTGAGCAGTTGGGCTCCTCTGGCTGCAGCCCAGCTCTTGCCCAATGGATGTTTCCCCCATTAGGATGGAATTGGAGTGAAGGACTTGAGATATTTTTTATGGACAGGTCTCTCTGCCTTCAGCTGCTGCACTGGTGAAGGCAGTGTGATAATGGTGATGCACTGATGCATTTGGTGGGAGCAGCACTTCTGTTCTGCCTTGCTGGGAAATGCGTGCTCTGGGCAGCACAGACAGCCCATCACCAAGCAAGTGCCATTGCACTCATCTTAAATTCATCATTTGGAAATTGACTTCAAGCCCTTTAGTGCTACTTTCTGTGGGGCTGCCAAGGTTGAACGGGGAAAGCCAGCAGCTATAAGGCAACGTCTGACTTCATTCTGACTCGGCTCCAGCTCGGAGGGGCTGTGCAAACTGATGTTTGCTCAAATCTGGCCCCACTTCCACTAAAATCCAGCAGGCAGAAGGATTGCACACTCTTAAAAGCAACATGAGAGCCTTCGAGCAGAGCTTATTTTTATTGGACGTTATGCATGCTTCTATTCCCCAGTTTGGAAATGCTGTAGATAAGTGGTATAGGATGAAATTTCCATCACCAGAAGCCACTTGGCTTAAATATATACATGTGTATGTATGCTCAGCCGGATCTTTTCCCATCGCAGCTCATGCTTGGAGGGTTACATCACACCTCTTCCTGTTCCTGAGCCTTTCCATTCCTGCTCCCCCAGTTCTATGCAGCAAACCCGCTCAGCCCAGCTTGAGTGGTAGGAGATACGTGACACAGAGGCAGCAGATGGGCAGGAAGAGGTTTAAAAGGACTGAGCTTAGGGCAGCTCTGAAATCAATCCATCAGCCTCTTGCTGAAGGGCAAAGTCCCGTTGTGCTTGATAATTCCAGCAGATGCTGCAGCTTCTAGCCCTGTTCTGAGGGTTGTTTCTTGGAGAGTGGTGGATGCACGGAGTGGGGCTGTTGGCTGGGATCAGCCTCCTGAGCACTGCCCATCTTCAGCAGAGCTTGCTCGAAGCAACCTGGGGCAATGACACTGAGTGCAATCCCGAGCTGCTTTTCCCCCTCCTCTCTAAAACATGTAGACTAAGTATGCAGACAGTTTCTCATTTATGGAGAGAGCTTGTGGCTTAGCCTTGTTTTACTGTGGATGTAAAGGCTGCCCACAGCCACAGGGGCAGGAGGAGACTGATTCTGGACCTGTGCTCCTCCATGCAAGCATCAGCTCATCCAACACCATGTGGCCAAATTACGGTTGGAATAACATGGGGAGTTGACTTAGCTTGTATTTCTTGGAGTAAAAGCTCCCAGGTCTGCGTGCTTGTATTCACATTTGTGAGTTATTGCATGACTTGGGAATACAACAGGCGGGCAGAGCACAGCACCTGCTTTGTTCATAATGGTGTCTCCAGGTCCAGCTGTACAGCTGCTGTGCAGATGGGGCAGGGGATGCTCTTAGGGATGCCATGCCTGAAAGCCCCACAAAGAGCAGGAAGGGAGCTGGGAGTTGAGATGCCCTTCTCTGATGTGCTGGGGGCTGGATGAGAGCAGTGCATGGTCCAAACACACACAAACCCACCTGTGACAGCACTGCTAAGACCACAGCAACCAGCTCTGCCCTGAATGCATCTCTTTAATAAATGCATTTTTTAAGCCATCCCCCAAAACATCCTTAGCAAAATATTTGTTGTCCGTCCTCTTCCTCTCTGTGCACACATCCAGGCTGCAAATAGGATGTGCTCTAAATATATCGAATAGCTGCAGCCACGGTGTTCCCAAATAGATGTGGTACCTGGGAGCAGACAGTGGGCAGACGAGGGCTGGTGGAGCAGACCGGGCTGTGCTGCTATTCCTGTCTTCCTTTTCCTTTCTGGAGCAGAAAAATCTCACTTGAAAGCCCAGTGGCTCAAAGGGTCTGGTTGTGCCGGGTTGGAAATGGGTTGAGTTTGTATTGTCTGGGGTTTGTAAGCAGCCCAGGCTGTGGGGATGAGGTTGTATAGAACTCCTCTGTGTGCTGCTGCTAAGTGCAAGGCTGAGGACGGGGACAGGGTCAGTGGGCATGGTGGGGTGGGTTGGGGTTGGCCTTGGTGATCTCAGGAGTCTTTTCCAACCTCTGTGACCACGGTGGGGATGGTTTGGGACTGGACTTCGATGACCTTAATGTTCTTTTCCAATCTGGATGATCCTACTGTGCTATGATATTTCTTGTGGCCTGGCACAAGTAGAACTGTTGTATCACCATGCAAATCAGTGGATGCTCTCTCTGTGCCATGAGGATCTGTTCCCACCACCTGAGACCAGCCCTGTCCTTGCTGTTTGAAAACCCAATGTTTGTTTACCTGTTTGTGTCAACAGGTTTTAAGCTCTTCCCCCTTCATGTAAATGTTTACCTCTCTAAGCACACACCTGTGTGCAACATAAATGCTGATGTTTGCCCAGAGAGCATCTCAGCATCTGTTCTGGAGATAGCTCAAGTCAGATGTTGATTAAACCATTGAGGTAAGCCTCTGTTTCTTCACTGCTGTAATTTTAACGTGTGTGCAGGGGTTTCTGGTGCTTGCCATCCAGCCCTTGTCTCCAGTGCCCCCTGTTAGCCTTCCTTAGCCTGCTTTGCATTGGGCTCCCACTGAAGCATTGCACAGTTTAGCAAAGGCCTCAGCTTTGTCACTTATGATCTGCACTGCGTTTGCTCCTGGAGCCTGATCCTGCGCTGCGCTCTCCTCTCTCACCCTTTTGCTCTGTGCAAACCTCAGAACAAAAAGTGCTCCTGGTCCAGTGCAGTGCAATGCTCCCAGGGCTGCTGCCTGCCCCGTACAGCCTGTTCAGTCTTGCAGCATCTCCCTCCCTGTGTTTATTTAACAGCTGGGACCTCAGCGGTGACTCAGAGGCACAGCTCCAGATGTTTAAGTCCAAACAGATTCCTCTCATTCCCATGCATGTGAAGAGAGAGCTTTTGTGAAAGCAGGGGGGCAGTGAGTATGGACTATCGAGGGACAGAGGTAGCACACAGGCTCATTGCTTTAGTTAAATCACACATCTAAACGTGTGTAACCATTGCTGGGCATCCTCAGGGCTGCTGCAAGGAGAAAGCTGTCTCTGAGCCTGGGAGGGTGGGGGGATGGTCCTTCCCATAGGAACAGATGGCAAAAGGTAGAAGGGAATGTCATAAAGTGTGGGTGTTTGCAGTCAGGGGTTGCGTTTGGTTCAGAGAGATGAAAACAAAAGAGCTGAGGCTCAGGACCGACCCCTTTTCTTCTTGCTATCCCCTGTTCTCTGAAGGTGGAATTCATGGGTTTCATAACAGAGAGGAGCAGGAGGAAGGGGAAAGGACCCAAAACAGTTTTGGGTTCTGGAGACTTCATGCAAGCAGGAGTAAAATGCCTTTGGGTTTCCTGCTGCGTTTCCTAGAGGTAGTGCTGCTCTTTGGATGGCTGCCTGGCTCCTGAAATGCTGCTGCAGGCTCTGCTTTATGGTTGCAGCACAGCTGCTCGTCTGATAGCTGCTTGGAGATCATCAGAGGGTTTACAGGTCTGCCTCAATAGCTGGCATAACAGAACCAGCAAAGCTTTCAGACAGAGGTTTCCTCGTTAACACGAGCTCTTGTTGCAGGCCTTTGTCTCCACGTGTACAGAAAGCACGCGCAGGCTGTCTGAAAGCATCTGCTCCAGCTATTAAATGTTGTTTGTTCTGATTTGGATGTGAAGTCTGTTTTCACCATCAGTCCCTCTGCTGTATGCATTGGTGTCGGGGGTAAAATACAACCTGGCTGTGCTTGCATTACTGAATACTCCCAGTGCAGAGAGAGGAAACCATTCAAGCCTGTATAGAGCCATTGGGAAGAAGGTCTTAGTGTGCTGCAGGAGGAAGGAGGGCTTACTTTGATCCGTTGTTCTTTATTCTCCCAGTATAAATCCAAGATCAGCAGCACACTGAATTCTTCTCCTGGATGTTTTGCTGTTTGTTCAAACCCAGAGCAAAGCCTTGAGCTCACAGAGTCACAGAATGTCTGGAGTTGGAAGGGACCCATTGGAACCATCAAGTCCAACTTGCTGTGCCAGAAGTTCTATGAGCGAAAAGTGCTGGAGGTTTTGCTGCTGCTTGGATGCAATTCCTGCCTTAGGGTCATTGCAGAAGCACTTTGATCCCTCTGCATTGATCTGCAATGATCCTCTCATTGCTCAACCTGCAGAAAGGGTCTGAGAATCTTTCCTTTCTCCCATCTTATGAGGGCTGTATTTGTCTTGGAGGCTTTTCAGCTTTGTCGCCCCTGCAATAAGGGAGCATTCATCTTGCTGAAGACTTCTACTGCAGCAGTGAGCAGTAATGGCTTAATGATGACTAATGAGTGCAGCACAGGGTAACGATTCTGCTGCGGAAGCACCAGGCAGATGTTTCACATCTGGACCGTTGCTCTGCATGAGGCACACGGAGCAGTGCCACCGTGCAGCTTCTTTGCAATGTGTGCATCTCAGAGCATCGTTCCTGGAGGTGATGCCACACTTTGCTCTGAATGTTTCTGTTCCTTTAGTATGTGCTGTCGAGATGTCTCAGTTGGTTCCTGCGTGGGACCCTTTTTCTGAACACCTGAATGCCTCAGATGTGGCAAATCTTGGATACTGTTGTGTCGTTTGCTTTCTTCTCAAGGGCTGTAGGAGCTTTCCAGACCTAAGCCTGAGCTGTCAACTCACTGTGTTCATCCCTGCACAGAGTCACCGGGGCTGTCCCATGGGTGCTCCTGCTGTGGAGGGCTGAATTCCAGCAGATGGAGGTGAAAAGGAGATATCAGCCAAGTAGTAAATGCAGTCAATAATAAATGTATGTAAAGGTTTGCCCAAGGCTGGGAGTAAGGCCCAGCCTCTCCCTGCAGTTGGTTTCAATTTGCCCAAGGCTGTGATTCCCATCAGTGCTGGGGGATGGATGTGCCACGTGTGATTCTCGGAGCTGCATCAGCCCTGCAGTGCTCTTCCTGCCCCAAATACCTGCGTGCCACCCGCAGAGGCTGTGTCTCTTTAAAGCTTTCGGCCCCCTCCTTTTCCAAGTGATGGAGGGGAGGGCAGGATTCCTCAGATCTGATGTAACCCTGAGCAGAACCACGTGGCTTCGTACATTTTTGACAATAAAAGCTCTCCTGGAAGCAAGCAATAAAATTTTCAGTAGCTCCTTTGTAATTGCTTGCCACAGCAAATATTTTCCAGTCAGCCTTTGCTTTGGGCTCAGGTCCCTGCAAGGTTTCTGCAGCATCCTCACGTAGGCTCCAAAATGCAAAATCCATTCGACCTCCCCGACTCGTTTGCTGCAGGAGGAGCTCAGCTTGCAGAAATGGGGGTATCTCTGTGCCAACAGTGTGGGGATGGGAGCCCAGAGGGACCCCCAGCTCGGTCCCCTGCCAGTGCTCTGTGCCAGTAATCAGCCCCACCACAGCTCACTCCAGTAGTGGCCAAAACCTATACATGTAGTGAGGTCACTGCTTCTGAAATCAACACTTTCAATGAATTTCAGTAACAGAGGGGAGTTATTACATAGCCATTCATTCACACGTGTATGTGTGTATATACCCACCTGAAGGACAGAGGAAGGAATTGCACAAGGTAGAAAGGCTTGTTTGCTTCATGGTTGTCATTGAATTGATTGAATTGGAAGGGACCCTTAGAGGCCATCTGGTCCAAACCCCCTGCAGTGAACAGGGACACCCACAGCTCAGTGGGGTGCTCACAGCCCTGCCAGCCTGACCTCGGGTGTCTGCAGGGATGGGGCATCCACCATCTCTCTGAGCAACCTGTGCCAGCGCTTCATGGAATAGAATTATAGTCATTAAGGTTGGAAAAGACCTCCAAGATCCCAAAGTCCAAATCCCAACCCACCGTACCTGCAGAACCGTCAAGGTTGGAAAAGATCACTAAGATCCCCAAATCCAACCCCAGCCCGCCCCCACCGTGCCCATTCACCGTGTCCCTCAGTGCCACATCTTCACGTTCCTCGAACAGGAACAAAGATGCCACCACACCTCTGGACTTTTCCCAAACAGCCCTCATCACTGCGAGCACAACAGCTCCCCCTTCCCCAGCAGCTTCATTGCAAGCCTGCATCATTCCTCTTTCTTTTCCACCCACAGAACATGAACATTCAGGTGGAGGACATCAGGATCCGGCCCATCCTCGCCACCTATCGCAAGCGGGTGCCCGTCACGGAGGGTTATGTGGAGGTGAAAGAAGAAGGGACCTGGAAGCAGATCTGTGACAAGCACTGGACCATGAAGAATTCCCGAGTCGTCTGCGGCATGTTTGGGTTTCCGAGCGAGAGGAAATACAACACCAAGGTCTACAAGTAAGAGCAGAGCTCTGTGTGTTTCTTTCAGCACTCGGGGCCTTGTTCAGAAAGCCCAAATTGTCAAATGGCACTGGAGACCTTGAGGTAGAGTAAGCTCTGACTGCTTAGTTCCTTCAGATCAGGTTTTCCTACTGTGTAAATACTTGAGATGTCAGGTATTTCCTTGGGTGGGCAGGGGTGGTTTGCTCCCCAACCAAGAGTATCTCTGTTAGTAGCTGGTAGCTCCTGCAGTAGATGTGGGCATTCAGCCCAGTGCATCCCTTTGTTTGCACCTATTAGCAACGGGTTCAGGTCCTGTGTTGTGTGCAGGGTTGGGTGGACACGAGCAAAACCCATCATCTGTGAGCTGAGCTCAGTGCTTCCATCTCTTTGCAGAAAGCTGTAGGGTCAGGTCTTGTGCTGAAGGCTCCGTTGGGAGAACCTTGGAACAAAGCAGGCTTTTGTTGGCTGCACTGCCCATATTGCTTGTGTTCCTCAGTCCTGGTCTTGCTCCTCCAATGTCATGCTTACCCCCATCAAGCAGCTGCTCTCCGATTTAGGGCAGTTGTGATTTCAGTGTTATATGTATATATATGATATATATGTTTCATATATATATATATATTTATTTAATATTTCTTTAAAATGAGAGGAGGAAATGGTGATCCCAAGGGAGAAAGAGCATCGTGCCTTCGAGAGCCTCAGGCTGAGCAGTTCAGGCTGTGTTTCTCCATCCTGAAAGCTGGGAGCTCCGGCCTTTTGTTGTTGTTGTCAATGCTTTTTGTCACCATCCTTCATCACAGACATAGATCTTCCTACGCTGTTCCCTAGGAATAACACCCCAGAGCAGATGCAAAATAGTTTAAGCTCAATTCTGCCTCATTTTTCCCTCTGCTTTGTGACCCAGGAGTGGGAAAGTGTCAGTCGGTGAAGGGGAAGCTCTCCAGGCAGGAGCTGTGGTTTTCCTGTTCTTTTTGGCCTCTGCGTTGCTATTTCTGAAAGCTCCCCCTGGAACCAGCTGGCCGAGTCTCATTTATTTTGTTAGAAAGACGGTGATCAATAGAAGAGGTCTTTGGGCTGGGAGAGCGTAAAGCCATATAGCAGCAGAAAGAATATAAAGTGAATAACCCAGGTGGAGCTCTGCTTTTGGGCACCCCGGGGAGCCAAGCAGGGAGCTGATAATTGCTAGCAGGCAGTTGTTATCCATAGGAACGTTTGCTCCCATCAGTGCAGCAAATTCAGACCTGAGATTCCCATTCCTTGCACCAGAACAGGAGGACAGAGCGCTTCTAGTAAAACAAAGCAGATTTTTCCTGCTTCTCAGTTATGGCATTTCCAAGAAGAGCATTAACTTTAGCAGCTGGAGCCATCTGCCCTAAATAAAAGGATGCGTGGTAATTGTCCCGTCTCTTGCAACAGCCCTCTCTGCATGATGGAAAAGCTGATGCACAGTGCTTCAGCAGCACTGAAAATCCCATTCACTGGAGCTGGAGTCATGAATATGCAACGCAAACCACCAGGCTCGTGCACCTCTGCTACCAAAACACATCTTGTGGTTCGTTTTAATGAAGACCCAAACCATCCTCATTGGTGAGCTGAGCTCGCCGGTGCTCAGCTCCGCGGCTGCGCTGTGGTGGGAGGTGAAATGATGTGCAGATGGATCTGGCTTGAAAGAAAACAAGTTAGTTCATCGTTGTCACCGTGCCAGGGTTTTATTCCTGAATGCGACTCAGGCTCTGCAGTTGACAGCACGATTTATGTTCGGAAACGAAACAAATCTTCAACGTTGTTTCCATGTTCTTGTTCGTGCTTCAAAGCGGTTTTATATAAGAGCTGTTTGTTAATTCCTCCTCCTCCCTGCTCTGAGCAGCATTAAATGCATCCTGCTGACAGGGACGGCGCGAGCGGAGAAGTCTAAGGCAGAGAATGAGCCCGATGCCTTCCTGATGTTCTCCTACAGCTTTTGTCCAACAGCAGTCATGGTGCGGCCAAAGGAGTGGATGATTTGCCCATGGGTGGCCAAAGGGTGGAGGGAAGAGCTCAGCAGTTCCATCACGCTTTGTTCAGTGCCTGCCTGAGTAGCATCTCTCAGTTTAACCAATCTGAGTTGTATATTTGGTCGCCTGTGTGGGGCTTGCGGTAGAAATCCTGATGGTTTGGATTCTCTCCAGCAAAGCCAGGGTCCTAAGGGCTCCAGGAGAAGGTCAGGGCCCAAAGAAGAACTCTCCAGCTGCCATTCAGTGTGCCATGGGTGACTTTCCCAGCACGTGTGTGATTTGCTCTCTGCTCTCCTTGTCCTCTCCGACGTGTTCTTACAAAGCCATGCCCTGTGATGCTTCCCACAGCCCTCAGGCTTAACCTGTGGCTTTTTTTCAAGCTTACTCAGTGAAGATCCATCTCTTCTGACATCCTTGGGTTCCAGCATGACCTCGAATTGGCTGAACTCAGCATGGCTGCTCACTCACCCCTCTGATCTGAGCAGCGTTGTGCTTGGCTTGCACCAAGGCCAGCAAGAGGTGGGCTGCACCCTTTCTGTGCTAAATAGCAAGAATGCCCCGAGTTTCTGTCTGTAGAGATCATCTGCATTCTGCTGTTTTTCACATATCCATTCTGGGGAAGTGAGGTGGGGCTTCTCTGGCTCTTTTTCCCCAGCTTACCAGGGGCTGCTAACACCATCCAGATGTTCGTGCCTCATAAAGTTTCCAGGATGAGGTCATTGTTTGCTATTCTAAGGCATCCCCGTAGTTACTGCTTAAGACAGGCCGTGTTTCTTGTCTGCTTCGGAGTTCAGAGCTCACTGTATGTGTGTGTGGGGGGGGGTTCCTCGGTCAGAACACTCCTCCTGGTTCTCACTTCCAGTGCACAGAATGGTGAAGCAGAACCAGAGGAGTAAAGTCACTGCGTGACGATCTTGCAGATGTTCTCCAGTGTGTAGCATCTGCCTGTAACCCTAATGTCTGCCCTGGGGCTCTGTGGTCTCCCCATCATGTGGTGCAATTGCCTCTCTGTCTCCAGCCTGCCTGTGCCCAGCCTTACCTCCAGCCTGGAGAAATGGGGCTCCAGGCAGGATTTGCTGGTGGCTCTGAGCCTGGGCAGCTGCTGGGCTCATCAGCAGAGATTTATGAGCAGGAGAAGATCCACAGTGGCACAAAATAGTTCACACGGCACCACCGAAGAGCATCACCTGGGACAACCTGGCCAAGTCACCGGTTTGGTTTCAAGCAACCAACCTGGAAAAATGCTCCTTGGTTTCTTTACCAGATCCTGGCCAAGCTCTCCGTCCCACTCACCGGTCAGCTCTGCTGTTGTCTCTCCTTGCACTGTGCTCTGCGTTTGTTCACAGCAAACCCTGGAGCGAGGAGCAGCACAGGGATCCAGCAGAGCCACGTCAGATCCCAGCAAGGCGTTGGCTCCCAGCACCTCTGCTTCCTTCAGCTTCTCACATTTCCCTTTCAGCAGTGCCCTGATCCATATTTACACTTCGCTGACTGTTTCAGCCCTGATACAGCTAGGATGAATCAGGGATGCTTTCTTTTCCCGTTTATCACACATGCCCCTTCCCTTTAGCAGTCCCTGGAACAGCTCCAGTTTGGGAGCAAGAAGCAGGAACTGCTGCCAAGCTCCTCTGTTGCAAACATGTAAGCAAGGAGATTTCTCTCACTCTCAGATACTGCTTTCAAGCTCACAGTTGTTCACAGTGCAGCTCTAAGAAGCGGGAGAGCCATAGCACTCTGCAGCCTATAGGGGATGGCCAGCAAGGGGAGCAGCTCATTCTGGGAGAGGTTTTTTGGGGGACGTGTTAGCATGCTGCCTTTTGAGTTAATAGACCCTTGGATTCTTGAGTGACAACGTAACAGAGGGTCACTGTGAGTGTGAATGGAGCAGCTCTCCATCCATCCTTGCTCCATCCATCCCTGCCCATCCATCCCTGCTCGCTCCATCCATCCCTGCTCCATCCATCCCTGCTCCATCCATCCCTGCTCCATCCATCCCTGCCCATCCATCCCTGCCCATCCATCCCTGCTCCATCCATTTAATTACAAGGCGTTCTTCTCCCAAATGCACCTCCATCGGTGCAGCTCCTCCAGATTCTGGCTCTTCTATTTCTCTCCCCTTTGGTTTCTTTCAGAATGTTTGCCAGCAGAAGGAAGCAGCATTACTGGGCTTACTCCATGGACTGCACTGGGAACGAGGCACACATCTCCAGCTGCAAACTGGGCAACCACCTCAACGTGGACATGGAGAAGAATGCAACATGTGACAACGGGATGCCCGCAGTGGCCAGCTGTGTCCCCGGCCGTGCTTTTGCCCCCAGCAGCCACAGTGGCTTCCGAAAAGCCTTCAGGCAGGAGGTGAGCAGGGAGCAGGAAGGATAAACCGGCAGAGCTCTGCACGGTGCCTTCCTCGCAAGGACGTGGTGCCAGGCTTGGAAGGGCAAGCAAATAAATGTGTCACGTTTCTGTCTGCTCCAGCCAATTGAATGAGTGCCCATTGCTGCTGGGCTTTGCTGTTTTGCAGTCAATTAAATGCTGCTGAGCTCTGTCTCCTGTAGAGATCCAATAGAAGTGAGGTTGTATTTCCACTACTCTCGTGTTTTCTGCAAAGAAGGGCCCTGAGAAGGAGGGAAAACCTGCAGGAGAGGTCGGGAGAGCTGTGTTTGTTTAGTCTAGCAAAGAAGGCTGAGCATAGCATAAAAATCCTCAGCTATGCAAAAGGCTGTTAGAAAACAAGCCCGGATTCGGCTGCTCTTGGTGTCAGTGGGGCAAATGAATGGGGAAGAATAACAAACATGTTTTAGGTTGATGCCTAAGGAAATCCTCTGTCTGTAAGGTATGTGCACCTTTAGGGGGTGATTGCAGAGCTGCAGGCCCTTAATACTGGGTTGGTATTTTGCACTGTGGATCTCCAGGTAGCCTGCATTCCCCAGCACTGTGCTGTTGTGACTGTAGGAGTGGGTTTTTTCTGGGTTCAGAAGACCCCAGAGAGTTCCCTAAAATCCCACTCTACAAGAAGCCATAAGGATTTAGGTCTCGGGGTGAAAGGTCTTGTAAATCATTGCTAATCTTCTGAGCCATGCATGCTGCCAAGTAATTCTTTAAGCCTTTGTGTTGGCTTTGGATATCCTTTGCGTGACCCCAAGCTTGGAGAACTGCGTATGCTTCCAGCTTTAAAAGTGAGGGTTTCAGTGCTCTCAGGCTCTGCAGACTTCACTTGGTGTTCCCACAGCTCACCCCACATCTCTCGGGTGCTGCAGCAGATGGAGGGCTGCTCTGCTTGGCACTGGGATGGAGCACCTCCATCCCATTGGGAGGGAAGGACTGCGAGACTGCTGCAAAGCTGCTGTTGACCCCATTTTTGGGGGGGGGTCCTTGATCTGTGAAGGGTATCAAGGCTGGTAGATCCCCAAGGGCATCTAGTTCAAGCTGCAGCAAAGTGCTCACAGGTGTCTTTGATCCAAGCTGCCAGCATTTTCAGAATGAAGAGTTATTGTAAGAATGAGACTTGCAAAGGGCTTGGTAGGAAAGCAGCAAACTGCTGGCCGTTAGCTAATTAATGCAACTAATTTCATCTTAGGGAGATGGCCACCACTTCATTTCATGGCGGTGATGGGTTGACGGTTAGAACTGATTGGCCTTGACGATCTTAGGGGTCTTTTCCAACCTCAAAGATTCTATGATTCTGGGGGCACAGTGGGAATGGGGTGATGGTTGGACTTCTTGGTGATCTTAGAGGTCTTTCCCAGCCTTAATGATTCCATGATTCAATGGCCATAGGGGCGATGGGTTGATGGTTGGATCTGATGATCTCAGTGTTTTTTTTCTTACTGATTCTATGATTTATCTCATAATACAAAAACTTGCCTTCAGCTGAGATGCTTAGCTGCTTTGTATTCAAGGTCTGCTCTTGAGTTCTTTTGCACACACGAGGAGAACTGCAGTGTCTCTTCCATCCATGTCTTCCAGCAACCTCTGGTGAGGCTGAAAGGAGGAGCCAACACCGGCGAGGGCCGAGTGGAAGTGCTGAAGAATGGGGAGTGGGGCACGGTGTGCGACGACAACTGGAACCTGGTGTCTGCCAGCGTGGTGTGCAGGGAGCTGGGCTTCGGCAGCGCCAAGGAGGCGATCACGGGGGCAAGGCTGGGGCAAGGTAAGGGCAGGGGAGCTCTGGGGACCCTCCGTGTCCCGTTCTCTCCTGAGAGCCCCTTCATGATCCAGAGCAGCGTGTTTTCGCTGGGATGTTTGTTTCGGGTGCCAAGAATTTCCTGTCTCCTCTTAGTAAGTCTCCTGAGGCCGTGCCTTAGGGAGCCGTTCAGGATTCATTGAAAGAATTCTGGTGCCGATGAGTTTAACCTTCCCCTCAAACAGCTGTTCCAGTAATTACTTCTTCGTTATCGCATCCGTTGCACTCAAAGTCTCTTTACAAGTTCTCCAGATGCACATTACTAGAAGGCTCCTGGCAAAAGTGGGTCTTGGACATAGACCTCAGGCACTCTCCAATTTAAGCCCTGAACCTTAATTTAGCCTGCTAAAAATAGGAGGGCTGTTTGCACGACTCTGAGCCAGCTTGGGTTTGGATTTCCTGTAACTGGGAGTTGGTTCAAATCCCAAACTCTGGTAAATGGCAACTCAAAGCCTAACGTTTGCCCTCTCAAGCCAACTGCTGATTGCCTTCATGTAAACCCTACAAATAATGACACCAAACCTAACCCCTTATAGTGAAACGCAATGAGCAGGTGGTATTTCTTCAGACCAGCATGGCTTGGAGAAAGTGCAAGACAAGGAGAGCTTTAAAATGGGACTTATCTGTTGGATTTGCAAAACAAACGAACAGAAACCCAAGAATGATGCGCTGGGATGTGCAAGGTGAAGCACACAGGGATGGGCTGATTGTTGCAGGTAGTAGTTAGTGAATAGCAATCCCAATTAAAACAAAAGGGATCGACTTCTGAAAGGCGCTTGGTCCAGCGGTGTGAATGTGCTATCCATTGCAATGTCCTTAGGAGAACCAGGGTAAAAGCCCAAGCAGTGGGAGAATATGTTTGTTGGGTATACAGCCCTAATTCTGTTCTTCTGGTAAAGGCAATGGCATGGGGAAAACACAGAGCTGTGGCCCTGCCCTCTGGCTTTGTCATCTCCTTGGTATGACGTTGTCAGGGTAGAATGTGAGGCTGGATGTGTGTTGCGTTCTTGGTGCATCACCCTCCAATTCTGGTCAGCACCATTCCTCATACAGAACTGCTTACAGGGCAGTGTTGCCGTTTCCAGCTGCAGACCACTAACTGGATTTTAATGAGAGCAACAAAAAACCAGATGTGCGTGCCACACATCTGCAGAAATATGCTGGAGAGCTCTTGTTGTTGTTGTTGTTGTTGTTGTTGCACTTTCCCAGTCCTTGTGCTGCAGTCTGTGGAGGTGAGGGGTTCACCAGGCACATCATTAAGCTGTCACTCAGGGTGAGGGATCTCAGTCCCAGGTGTGCTGGCTGCCATGAGGTTAGGAAGGCTCCAACTGGCAACAGAAAAAGGTTTTTGAGCAAAGGATCCCGCCTCCCATCAGCAAACCAATTATCTTTTCCTGCCTTCCAGAGCCAGCCCTTTGCTTTGAAGGCTAAAAGGAGCAGGCTTGGAGTTGGGTGACACGTTCCTCCGCAGAGAGGTGAGCACCAAGTGGCTCACGGTGAAGCAGTGCTGGTGGGATGCAGTCGGTGGAGCTGCCACCATCTTCTTTTGGGCAACTGGTGTCACCTCTGGGAGACCCACTGGGGCAGTGGGTGTCATTTCAGTGCCTTGAGCTGGGCCCTAATTTATGTGTGTGGTGTTGGTCAGCCCCCTCTGGCTGTTGGGAGTGGGTGGTGGTGGCCATCGCCGACACACAGATGTTCCTTTCTTGTCCATGTGTGTCCATCAGCAATTATGGGAACTGGTTTGCATAGGCTCCAGAAAATACTCTGTTTTGTGATAAAAAATCTGATTAATTCCCTCAAAGCTTCTTTCCAAGTGGATTTGGGCTCAGTTTGGAATCAGGACGTAGGATTTCTATAGGATAATTACCTTCTCATGCGCCTTCTCTCCCTTCAGGGTCTCTTTGGAAGTGGCAGTTGTGCACTGTGAGTTCACAAGGATGGAACCAATTATTCCTTTCCGATTTCTGCCCCACTGCCTTAGCACCATTTTCTGCAGCAACAAAAGCCAATGATTCCCTTCCTGTCTTGTTACCAGTCTTGTCATAGTCGCTTGCCCCACAGTGTTTCACCGACCTCTTGCACATCCCCGTGTTGCTCCATTTTGCTGTCCCAGTGAATGTGTCCATGTTGCATCTAAATGTCAGGTTTTGACCAAGAACAGATTCCTGTCACACAAACCCAGCCAAAAGGTCGTAATTTTTGTGAATTGCTCCAGCTGAAGTTTGTAAATTATGTAACAACGGAAACTTGGCTTTTTCTGCAGCGTGTGGCTCCCGGAGACTACTGGAAAGAATGTGAAATGGTAAAATTAATAATGATAATCTTGCAGCTCTTTTATTTTTTACAAGAAATCGCTGGGATTTTTTTTTTTCAGGATCACCTTGTTTTGAATGCTAGAGGTCTGCAAAGTGTTAGCAAACAGTTATTGGATAGTTCTCCACTCCCCAGTAGCACGGGCAGAAGATATGACCTTATTTTCTTCCCCTCCCGAAGGCATGGGTCCAATCCATCTCAACGAAATCGACTGTACAGGATTTGAGAAATCCATCACAGACTGCAAGTTCAACATGGAGTCGCAGGGCTGCAACCACGAGGAAGATGCTGCTGTGAGATGCAACGTTCCCGCGATGGGTTTCCAGAACCAGGTGAGAGAAGCCCAGAAGCTTAAACTCCTGAGCCTCGAAACTGACCTGTGATCCTTGCCCAGCTGCTGTGTCACCTCTGCTTGCAGTGACATTTACTGAATGGAGGGTTTGTGGGGGTTTTTTTGCCCTACAGCTGCGCCTGGTTGGTGGTCGCAACCCATACGAGGGTCGGGTGGAGGTGTTGGCTGAACGCAACGGCACGCTGCGCTGGGGCACGGTTTGCAGCCAGGGATGGAGCACTGTGGAGGCCATGGTGGTGTGCAGGCAGCTGGGGCTGGGCTTCGCCAGCCATGCCTTCCAGGTGGGTCCCCATAAGCATGGGTGGCACGGGTGAGGTTGGGTAGAATCATTATGGTTGGGAAAGACTTGTAAAGGTCTTCAAGATCATCAAGTTCAAACATCAGCCCATCCCCATCATAGAATCATGAAGGTTGGAGAAGACCTCTATAAGAGCCAAGTCCAATTATTGACCCATCACCACCATGTCCTGAGATAGAACTATTAAGGTTGGAGAAGACTTCTGCGATCACCAACTGTAACCCACCCGTAGAATTATTAAGGTTGGAAAAGGCCTCTACAATCACCAAGACCAATTACTGACCCATCGCCACCATGTCCCCAAATAGAATCTCAGAATCATTAAGGATGGTGAAGACCTCCAAGACCCCCACGTCTAACCCCAACTCATCCCCACTGGCCATGTCCCTCAGTGCCGTATCTCCACAGCTCTTGGACACCTGCAGGGATGGTGACCTCATTACCTCCCTGGGCAGCCTGTGCCAATGCCTGACCACTCTTTCAGAGAAGAAATCTTCCCTAATATCCAACCTGGTCCTTGTTCTTCACTGGGTCACACTGGGATTTGAGCTGAGGGAGGTTGGAAGCCAATTTTCTCCTGGTGTCAAATCACCAGGAAAACAATTTGATTTTGCTCCCTTAGTTACTTCTCAGTGCAGCACATGGTGCGGCTGCATGCTAGCTCCCTGGGTTGTTGGTGGCTTTTGCTTCTGTGATGACAAATGCCCTTAAGCCTCCCTCCTCACGCATGACCAAGAACAGCACTTAAAAGGGATAAAAGCCACCAGCTAGCACGTTTGGGACAACCACAGAAGAATGAAGTGTTCTTTCTCAGCAAAGCTCCTTGGCGCAGGGAGCAGCAGCCTGCTGTGCTGGCTGTAGGAAAGCGAGCAGCAGCCCCAGAAATAGGACTGCATGCAGGGCAACAGAAGCTTGCCACCCCAATAAAGGACACAGACCAATAATCCTGGTGCAAGACGTGCTCCTGAACTGATGCACCCCTCAAGGATCACAAGGGCAGGCAGCTTTTGCAAGGAAATGTACAACTGCCTTTACTGCAGTTCCTGGTGTTGGCACAACGGCTCCCCAAAGGAACTGGCTTCTCTCTGGGAAAGCAGTCCCCTGCCAGAGCTGTTCTCGTGCAAAGTGGCCCCTGAAAGTGGAGCTTCAGGGAAAATGTGGCTTGCGCTGCCACCGAGTAAATAAAATTCAAGTGGGCTTTCACTGATAGAAGGAAAACTATTTTCCCCCAAACAATTGCCAGAAAGCCAGAACTTGGGTGCAGAAGCAAAAAGCAGCGCAGAGCATCTCCTCGCAGGGAGCAGAGGCTGTGCCACACTCCAGCATTTTGGTGCTGTGTCCAATCCGCTGGGCTTCTGACCAAGCCGGGATGCCAGGAGGACATACCAGGCTCCTGAGCAAGCAGATTGCCATGGCTTTTAAGTGTTGCTCATGGCCAGAGAGGGAATCTGGGGTCTGATGCCTTAGGAGGGAGGAGGCTGGAGCTTTGCTGCAAGCTGGTTCCTCCAGCTGACTGCTTGCACAGCTGCCAAGCGGAGCACAAGAGCTGAGGATAGCCACGTCCCTTCAATGCTGGCCTTTCCAGCTCTGTTGACACAGCCCTGAGAGTCCAGTGAGAAACAAGACATTTTTTCCTTTAGCTGAGACTGTTGGTATTTAGAACAGAAAAGGCTCTTATGCGTATCCCGGCTGCAGCAGCGACGCGAGCATAAAGCTACACTGTGTAGAACAGGGCAGCCCTGTGTGCAGGGTGTTGCTAACAGGGTTAACAAACAGCCTGTTGCAATGGAAGCAATGGTGCAGATGGGTTCTCTTTTCCTAGAAACGTTTCCAGTTTGGGCACTAATGCAAGGACGAAAATTCTTCTTCTTCTTTCTTCCCTTCACCCAAGCTTTGCCATTGCAGTTTCATTGGGGCTACAGAAGGTTTTGAGAAGGTGAGAGATGCTGATCAGCAGCATCCTGCCTCCATTCCTCTGCACTGACACAAACCAACAGCTCCATCAGGAACCCCAATCCCTTAATAGAGGGCACCGAGCAAATCTGCCTCTGATGCAACCTCATGCATGCAGGGAGAACACAAGTTATTCACAAGGATACACAATTATTCCCATAGCAACCCATGAAATGGAGTGTAAACGCCTCATTCTATCCCTCTGCCCAGGAAACCTGGTACTGGCATGGAGATGTCAGTGCTGACAGCGTGGTCATGAGTGGGGTCAAGTGCTCAGGGACGGAGATGTCCCTGGCCCACTGTCGTCATGATGGAGCCGATGTCTCCTGTCCTAGAGGAGGAGGTCGCTTCGGTGCTGGCGTGTCCTGTTCAGAGAGTGAGTTGTCATAAAATCACAGGTTGGGTTGGGTAGGAAGGGACCTTAAAGATGATAGAATCATAGAGTGGGTTGGGTTGGAATGATGCTGGGAGACGATAGAATCTCAGAATAGTTGGGTGGGGTGGAAGGGTCCTTAAAGGCCATAGAAGCAGAGGATGGGTTGGGTGGAAGGGTCCTTAAAGGCCATAGAAGCATAGGATGGGTTGGGG